TAAATCAGATAAACAAATCTTACGCAAAGCTACACACGTAACATAATAAGTTTCTTTCTCTATTTCGACCAGGTGAGGACGTGAATACATTGTAATCGAATATCTCGAACACGACGCGCGATCAACCATGACACCGAATATTTGATGGTCGAAAACAATAAATTGAATTTACACGAGTCTCGCTTTCATCTGGAAATTCAATTAACATTCTTTTTGCTTTGATTCGTTCGAGATCAAATTAACTTTCTTCCCTTTGGCTGACGTGGTTGTGAGTTTTGGATGTAGTAAAATAAAAATAAATGGTTCTCGTACTAAGTATTGTTATTAGGATATTGCAGATATATCACTAAACAAAGTGATCACATTGGTTCTATTAAGTGCTATACAAGTGTATAAGAGCTCCTTAATTTTTTAAGCTCTGATATGCAGTTAATTTAAAAAATATTTGATTTTTAGGGTAACAAATTTCATGGATATACTAGTTTGTTGCCTTGGATGTTGACTTTTATGAAATATATTTTGGTAGAATTTTCAAATCTACAAGCAAAAGGTAGCTTAAAAGGGAGGTAAAATAGGTAGCTACCTTTTGATAATTAATTATAGGTAACCTAGCTATTGGGTAACTCGGGTCTACAGTTGGAACTTATTGAGCATACCCTACTATGTAAAAAATAAATACCTCAGAGATGATACCGCAGGCAGTAGGATTAACAAAATTAAAACTCGAACCTCATTGCTTCAATACTCCAAAATTTGTGTGGTAATGATTTTATGACTCCAACATCTCACACGAACATTTTGAAACCTTCAACATCATTTGGAAGATCTTGGTCCAATCTGAAAGGGATTTCCCAGTGGTGGGAGACAATTAAGGAACAATTCCCACCAATTTCCCAAGATTATGACAGCTCATTTTGTTGTGTTAGTACACTGAAGAAGCGGCAGCTTCGATAATTCTACAGCATGCATTGTAAAGTAGGACTACTCAATTGCATGTAGTGAATTGGAGAGTTGGTTTGTTGCCAAACATAAACCCAAAAAATAAAAATAAATATAAATAGGTTTGAAAATATCAATTAGTTGATGCAAAGACTTCATCTTCGTTTTGTATATTTTAGACAGGATGACGAAAGCTCTAAGATAATTGAGGAAAACAAGAGATTAATCGAATGATCCCCCACAAAGGTGTGTGATCTTATTATACATTGATTGCTATATAATAACAATCGAGCGGTCAGAAGCCGCCTCATTGTGGTCAGTTTTCTTCTTCTTCTCGCTTCACCGCTCAGGGCAGACGTATCCGCAATCTAGAAGGCCTTTGTTGGGCAAAATGATAATGATATAGGGTCAAATTGGATATTGTCTAATCTTACAATGGAAGTTTTGTTTCCGTCTCAGTCTCGTACCGCCTTTTTGTGTGGTGTAATTTAATAATTTTTTTTCTGATAATTAAATAATTTGTCCATAGAAAGGTGTATATTTTCTATCTATGAGTATTTTCCTACTGAAAAGTTATCTATATATTCTTATAGGTTATATTGTTGGCTATTTCTATTCAATATTGTTATAACTAGTTTTGGGTGTTGTTTGAATTCTGTTTACATCTGGATATACTGAACAAATTCTAAAACCTGTTACCTAATTTAGTTAGTAATGACTCCTGAGTTGGGTGTTTTCTAATCCAATACGTAGGGATATCTGTATTTAAGCACATATAAGGGAAACTAGTAATTTCCTTGTCTAAGATATATGTAAACAATGACTCATATTTACGTGAAAATTTAAATATTTAAATAAATCTGAACATCACATGTCATGGTGATATTGTGAAATAGTGAACATAACATAAATTATATGCTATTTAAAACTTACTAGATGTCGTCCAGTGGTCGAAACTCGACCAAAAATTTGTAATGTACAGACTTCTCTATTTTCACCCCATACTGTAAATAAAACATGTGATTGGAGTTTCTTCAATTTGTTTTGATTTTCTGTTTATATTTCGTTGTTATTTCGTCTCCAGCATGAAAACCCATAAAGCCCATGTTAATTTTTTTCAAATTTCAAATTCATTTTTTGTGCTTATTTATGAGCCTATTTTAGTTTTTAAAGGGATAGTGCACACCTACAGAAAAATATCTTTCCAACAGTATGCGAAGATTTTTCCTGCGATGCACACGAGCTGAGAAAAAAGGTTTTAAAGAAACATGCTTGCCTATTAATATATAGATTGTATGCTAGTTCCTACAAATATTTCACGGAAAATACTGCTGTACAAATTTGTTGATGCGATTCTCGTCTAGAAGTATGTAGAGAAAGCGGTTAGAGACAAGCGGTTGACTTTACCAAAACAACCTGCGGCTCGAGTGAAAGTTAAAGTAATATTATAATACTCGAAACCGGAAGAAGTCGATCTCAACCCGCAATATCACAAAACTTGCAAAAAATGTAAAACGTACAGTAAAAACGTAAGTAAAATGTACAACCGGTAAACTAAGGGATAATTTTGAAGAAATATTTTGTTGCGTCGATATACCAAATAACTTCCTTTGTAAATAACAGCTTTGTACGTGTGACAAAATTTACTTTGTACGACCATCTGTAACTAGTTTTAATAAAAAAATTACAACTGATTAAAATATTTAATCGCTACTAGCAGTTACTCGGCGCGCGTTGCTGCGCTAACAACTATTATTTTAAATTGTAATTTGTTCATTACAATAAATAGTATTAGTATTAGTATTATTGGTGTTCCTTCTTTTAATGACAGTAATGTGGGGGGCTAATGGAATTTTGGGAGGCATTTGAATACCTGAGATAGGCCGCACGACTATTATTCACTTAATAATTTATGTAAGGTTTGTGTGCGTATAGAACAAAAGATAAAAGTAAAATAGTTTTCTGTTCTGCATTCCTTGGAAACATTGTGGCACTATTTCAAATCATGACTAATACGCTAATACAGAATGTTGTGAGTCAAACCTATTCAAACCTACAAAGCAGTTGGTAAATGTAAGCATCTGCTTTTAAATTATTTATTTGTAAACATTGTAGTTAAAAAAGTCTGACATTGGACCCTTTAAAACCCTCTGGGGCGGAGCCCTTTTGACGGCTCTGCACCAAACTTCACACAAACCATCCTTGAATAATGCTTAATGTCTGAAAGTTTCATTACAATCTGTCGAGCGGTTTCGGAGTCCATAAGGTACATACATACATACATATATAGTTCCTCTTTTATAGATATAGATAAATATGGCGCTGGTTCAATAAGCATTGCATTTCAGTTTAATGTGGCTAGAATTTTTTTTACTAAAAAATTAAAGCAGTATCTAACAACTCTGAAAGTGGCTACAAAATAAAGTGGAGTGTCGTATTTCATCATTATTGTATATATAATCAAAAGTTAAACCGAATAATTTAAAGCATGAAATAAATCTCCCAACAATTGGTATACAAAGTTTTGTATCGTAACAATAACCAACACATGATAAACAAACATTCATCATGACCCTAAAAATAGTTGTTATGAAGAAGAACATTTACTAACTCAGAATTCGAACACAAATACTTAGAAATCCATGTCACTCCTGGTCTAAACTATATTTAAACTCTTCGATATCCTGGTTTACTTTTACTGTACTAATTACTGTCGAATTACACTAAATTATTTAAGGATGTGAGTGAAATAAAAACATTTCCCGTGAATAATCATCAAAATACCTACTGCTGAAAGACCGAGTGCTCTAGAAAGTAGATTTATGTTTAGAAAAATAATTAGTATTTCCTCCAGGTTAAAAGGATATCCTTTGATAATTGCAAAGGATACTTTCCACTTATAAACCCATTTTATACTTCAAAATAAACAGGGTATGTTAATTACAGTAATGTTAATAATCTGAAAATAGTTGCAACAAAGTAAAAATTAATGAAACACATTTCTTTAATCAGAGCCCAAAGTTTGAGTAAATTTCCATTCAATTTTACATTTTAATTTGAGCAAAACTAAAATATTTCTGGTAAACTTTGATTCAAAATTAAGCATTTCAATCGACACAAAGGATTTCAATATAATTTCACTATTACATTATTATATAGTTTTTTGCAAAACTTAAAAACGTTCTTATGTCCAAAATTGTAATATTCATTAGTTGGGTTAAAGTTAAAGAAATGAGTCAAAAGATAAAAGCGGCTGCAATATTGTTAAATTGCAATCAGAATCTTAAGAACTCTTAATTTTTTCTGTATAATTTCTGTATCAAAAATTAGAGTAGTATCAGATAAACTATTTAAAACTAAATTTTAACTTAATTTTAATTTTAACTATTGGTTAGTTACTTATATCAATAATTAATTTATTCTTTGTGCAGTTGTATAAAAAACACGACTTAAAAATTCCTTTAGCGTAAAGTTTTCAGTTAAGCAAATAAACTAATAATAATTGTATGTATTGAATTGAAAAATTTTCTTGTATTTGTGCGTACAACATAAACACACTAAATACTAAATGTCCACAGTTCTTACAAAACAATTAGTTTGTTTTTAAAGCTTCTAAAACCATAAGACAAAACTAAGGTGGTTCTATAACATTTTGCACAAAGTTTAAGAACGAAAATAATTTAAAGGATAAAATTAGGAAACGTTTCAGGCTACAAAACAAAAGGTATTTATATAGCATTGACTATATTTTTTTGGTTTAGCCTAAAAGCATTATTTTAGTTTGGTTTTAGCAAAATATTAACTTCTTAAAATTTAATGATAATTTTAAGATAATCAAAATAATGGTATTAAAACATGGTATTAATGGTGTCACAAAAATGTCGTAATCTTTGGGCAACCTGACATTTTTTCAACATTTTTAAAATAATTAACGGATCTTTCAAAATCAATACTTGTGTATTATTTGCAAAATCTTGGAGTAATATTTTGCAAGATTATTTTCTATGACGAACCAAAAATTAATTAAGGAATATAAGAAAGAATAACAAATTGTTACTTACGAGTAGAATGTGAGTAAATTCCTTTATAGCACGGCACACTCTCACTCTCACAACGCGATACAGACTGACAGACGGACACTAGGAGGACAGTGAACACCGGTCCTTCCACTCGTTACTAAATATCCCACGACTTGAGGGAGAAATCCCTCACTATCCCACATACCCTCCCTCAACCACTCATCAGAATTATAGCATTAATTTCTTACGTTTAGTTAGTGAACAGAGGTCCTTCCACTCAACAACCAAATATCTCTCTGCTTGAAGGAGAAATCCCCTCCATACCCCACATCCCACATCTCCTCCCTCAACCACTCATCAGAATTATAGCATTAATTTCTTACGTTTAGTTAATGAACACAGGTCCTTCCACTCAACAACCAAATATCTCTCTGCTTGAAGGAGAAATCCCCTCCATACCCCACATCCCACATCTCCTCCCTCAACCACTCATCAGAATTATAGCATTAATTTCTTACGTTTAGTTAATGAACACAGGTCCTTCCACTCAACAACCAAATATCCCTCTGCTTGAAGGAGAAATCCCCTCCATACCCCACATCCCACATCTCCTCCCTCAACCACTCATCAGAATTATAGCATTAATTTCTTACGTTTAGTTAATGAACACAGGTCCTTCCACTCAACAACCAAATATCTCTCTGCTTGAAGGAGAAATCCCTCCATACCCCACATCTCCTCCCTCAACCACTCATCAGAATTATAGCATTAATTTCTTACGTTTAGTTCGTGAGCATCAGTCCTTCCACTTAACAACCAAATATCCCTATGCTTGAAGGAGAAATCCCTCCATACCCCACATCTCCTCCCTCAACCACTCATCAGAATTATAGCATTCATTTCTTACGTTTAGTTAGTGAACACAGGTCCTTCCACTTAACAACCAAATATCCCTCTGCTTGAAGGAGAAATCCCTCCATACCCACATCTCCTCCCTCAACCACTAATCAGAATTATAGCATTAATTTCTTACGTTTAGTTAGTGAACACAGGTCCTTCCACTCAACAACCAAATATCCCTCTGCTTGAGGGAAAAATCCCTCCATACCCCACATCTCCTCCCTCAACCACTCATCAGAATTATAGCATTCATTTCTTACGTTTAGTTAATGAACACAGGTCCTTCCACTTAACAACCAAATATCCCTCTGCTTGAAGGAGAAATCCCTCCATACCCACATCTCCTCCCTCAACCACTAATCAGAATTATAGCATTAATTTCTTACGTTTAGTTAGTGAACACAGGTCCTTCCACTTAACAACCAAATATCCCTCTGCTTGAAGGAGAAATCCCTCCATACCCACATCTCCTCCCTCAACCACTAATCAGAATTATAGCATTAATTTCTTACGTTTAGTTAATGAACACAGGTCCTTCCACTTAACAACCAAATATCCCTCTGCTTGAAGGAGAAATCCCTCCATACCCACATCTCCTCCCTCAACCACTAATCAGAATTATAGCATTAATTTCTTACGTTTAGTTAGTGAACACAGGTCCTTCCACTCAACAACCAAATATCCCTCTGCTTGAGGGAAAAATCCCTCCATACCCCACATCTCCTCCCTCAACCACTCATCAGAATTATAGCATTCATTTCTTACGTTTAGTTAGTGAACACAGGTCCTTCCACTTAACAACCAAATATCCCTCTGCTTGAAGGAGAAATCCCTCCATACCCACATCTCCTCCCTCAACCACTAATCAGAATTATAGCATTAATTTCTTACGTTTAGTTAGTGAACACAGGTCCTTCCACTCAACAACCAAATATCCCTCTGCTTGAGGGAAAAATCCCTCCATACCCCACATCTCCTCCCTCAACCACTAATCAGACACAGCAATATTTATATTAGTTTAGTTAGTGAGCACCAGTCCTTCACTCGACTACAAAATATCCCATGACTTAAAGCGTAAAAGTCCCTCCTCATTTCACATCTGTTTCTTCGACCTCTCATTTAGACTCAGTATTAGTCAAAAGAAAATACCATTGACTATTGGATACAGAAGATAATACCCACATTGGTTTAGTTGTTATCTGCACCAGCCCAACTTTTTTCATCCAACTTTTAATACTATTTAGAGGGAGAAATTCTTCCTTGTCCCACATTTCAACCAAAGAGACAATAATATAATAATAATAATAATAAATTGTCTTTATTCAGCAAGCGTTTTTCAGATATTTACAATTCTGCTTTACAAAACAACTCTTGTCATTAACCTACTTAAACTATAAATAAAAACAATCTATCAAACAATATAAAAACAATATCAATAATCAATCTTCGAAATGAACTCTGTGGTGATACAATGTAAAACAATCAATATAAACTATCTATAAAAACAATCTATAAAAATAATCTATGAAACAATCTATAAAACAGTCTATAAAATCAATCCATAAAAGAATCTTAAAACTATCCAAAAATCAACAATGTACAAGAAACAATAGTTGGTAGCAAAGGAATATAAGTGCAATATAAGTGTTTAAAACAGTTTTTGATGACAGGCATTGTCTCAAGAAGATTCATTTAAATCAATCTTTTAAACTAAACAGCAAGATAAATTCCTTTAATAATATTGTTTACAAACAAATAATTATGTATACAGTATCGGCTATAAAGATTACAGCGTATAAAACCTAAGTTGTATTTGATTTAGTCAACGTAAAATCAAAAATGTAAATTGTTGTTATCTGTGACGGTCAACTAGCATCTTAACCTTTGGCCGAGTCGTCTATTTCCTACAAAATACTAGAATAAACCATTTCCTGATGAGTTCTCCTTGGCTTACACAATTTCGTTTGACACTTTTGCGATTGTTATTACACATGTGTTTTACATATTGCTATAAGAAAACCTACATGATAAAAATTGAAGGCCGCCTTGTGTTTTTTTCTGAAGAAGATCCTATTTGACCTCGAATTCGCTCTACCAAACTAAACTGGATAATATGTACCGGTACCTATAAACAAAGAAGCGTAAAAGCATCCAATTTACATTTCAAAGTATAAACTTAATTCAATTCATTGGGGTTTTATAGTGTTTAGTTAAGTGTTTTATGTTGAACGATTTCTTCTTTTTGTGTTGTTTTGTTTTCACGATTTGATTAAAAAAATAATACCGTAAAGGTAAAGTTGACATTGATTTACCAGTCGGTGTTAGAATAAAAATAACTGTTTAACTGAACCACTGGAAGTATATGCTGTCGTAAGATACAGTTCTTTTCACATTACCATTGACTATTGGATACTGAGGGCTTTATGTATCAATTGTTTAACCATCTCAAACTTAAACAACCTTTTTGTAAACTCTGGACATCTTTTGCATCCCCAAGTATGGATAACTCAAAGAGATGTAAACTATTTTAAATTGGCACACTTTGCAGGATTGTAACTGTGTTGTCTTTTAGTAGTTGGTGTAATAGATGTATACTTCAGTGTCGAAAATCAAAGATTCTAATGTGGACTGGTTTAACTGATGGCTAATTCACGTAGAAACGAGTCCCATATAAATAAAGTCAAGTGAAAATAAAAAGCTGAATTGCATGTCATATAGTTAACAATGTTTAGTACAAGTCTCAGATGAGATAGCTAGTCCCTAACCATATCCATATGAAACCAAAGATTAACTAGGATTAAAAAATTTGGTTTGGGTTTTTTCCAGTCAAGACTATCATTCTGTAAATAATTTGTCAAAATTGTATTTATTTTTCACGCCATGTATAAATTTTTTAAATTATATACACAAACCTCTTGGGTAAATAGTGAATCAGATTTTCAGTATTTTATTTGGCGATTGATAAAAAGAAGTCGTCCAGTAGTCGAGAACTTGACCAAAAATATGTATTTTACAGACTTATCTATTTTAACCACCCTCTGTAAATAAAATATGTGATTTAAATTTATTCAATTTTTTTATTTTTTTTTATTTCGTTGTTGTTTCGTCACCAGCATGGCAACCTATAAGGCCCATGCAATTTGTTTATTTTAAATTCATTTTTCAGCTTATTTTTGAGTCTATTTTAGTTTATAAAGGGATTCTGCACATCTAGAGGAAAATATATTTCTAACAGTATGCGCAGATTTTCCCTGCGATGCACACGAGCTGAGAAAAAAGGTTTTTATGAAACATGCTTGTCTATTAATATATAGGATGCCATGTGCTAGATAACTAAATAGCCATATTTCAATTCCAGTAGTACGCAAAGTACCTACGTAGATTTCTGTATTTTATCAAGTTGGCATCTAAACATACCCATCCGAATAAGCTTTCCGTTTCGTGTCTCAGCCTTTTTTGGGAAGACCTTGTAACTATTTTTCATCCCACAGAAGGGAACATAAATTGTGACACGATTACGTTAAAATGCAGAAAGAGATTTGTCCTTGAAAATATTCCCAAACTACTTGAGCAATCCTTATTACGCGCACGTGAATAAAACATAAGATTCCACTGTAGGGCTGTCTTTCATTCGTGCGCAAAAAATCTACTGATGATAAGTGGTATTTAGTCGTAATGGGTAATAATAACTAACTGGCCATTGAAATATCAAGATCAGGTGCTACGTTAATATTAGTGTTTTTTAAATATATATCTTTTAAACCAACATTTGGTATAATCTTACATTATTATTTTATGCTAACCATAGGTGAAAACCTCACAACATACAGTCCATAAAAGAAGCCAGAGAATTTGGGGATATTTTAAAACGAATTTGCAATCAAGATTCTGTTCTCATAGGAGACTAAATTTAGTTTATATACTTTAATACTTTTAACTGAAATGGTGATCATACAAAGGTAGGTGTTTTAAGCCAAGTGTGAATGTAGATGAGTGTAGGATGAGTGGCGCGATCTTGTAGTCTTGTTACTGACCGAGGCCGTATACTTTACTTAAGGATACGATTTCTACAATTACCTTAGTAGGAAAAATATTATGAATGCAACAGTCGTCTTTCGGAACATTGAAAAGTCCTTTTGGCGTTGTAGAAAGTATAATAAAAATCAGACAAGCTGAAGACATCAAATCGAAAAATGAATCCC